TGAAGGTTGAAGTAGGGTGTTGGGGCAAGTGGAGTGGGGGTGAGGGTTAACAAGAACTAAGAATGCATGAAAAAGTCATATGGAAAACTAAAGGGCTCAGGCTTCCCTGACAAGTAGCCACCCCCGCCCCCATCCTCTTTCCATTTCCTCTTTTTGGGTCTTGGATCCACATCTCTTTCAGAAACAGCCTGAGAGTACCTGACTTGGCCTCTAGCCTCTGGAGGTGGGGTGGGGAAGTATCCCAAATCCTGCTATCCTCTTACTCCCCTTACTTTAATGACTATCTCTAGTCCCTCCCACTGCTCCAGGGCTCAGGCTTCCCTGCTGGCTAGTAGGGATCTACACATCCTCTTCCCATACCCTCTCCTTGGGCCTTGGATCTGTACCACTGAGAGTCCTGAAGAGTGCCTGACCCAGGGGTGAGTAGCCGAAATCCTGCAGAGCCCATCTTTGGCACCATCTCTAATCCTACCCACTCTGCCTGCTAGAGGCCTGCATACTACCCTGCTAAGTCAGTCCCTGATCACTGTGGTTTGATTCCCCTGCACCTTGAACAGCTCTGTTCTCAACCTAAACTCTGTTCTCTTCAACCTTGTGCCCAGACCCACTGTTGGTTTTCCCACTTCAGATCTCTGTATTAGCTTCCTAACCCAGAACATAGTCATTTCATCCTGATCCTCTGCACTCAGACTAGCTGTATTTTCCAGCTTCAGGGCCCACAACTATTCTCTCTAGCTACTTACATCCTCCTCACACTGACCCCACCCCAGCCTCAGCTCTATGACCCCCTCCTGATCCTCCTGCCTGAGACTTCCTCACTAGCCTTCCATAACCCAGTCACTGGACCCCATAACCTTGAATTTCCTTGCCCCACTGGAGAGCACTTCACTAATCAAATTGGAACCATCCTGTTCCACCAATTGAAGAAAAAAAAAATCAAAAGCGAGAACCTAAAGTACACTCCAACTAACTGTTCATACTTAAGCAAAAACAGAAACAAAAACCAAGCTACAACAATATAAACACAACCAAACTTCAACTAAACAAAAGCATACTAGAATTTTACATCACACAACTGACAAAAGAAATCCATATGCCCAAGTGAAAAGCAAAACCACAAACACAAAAAAACTGGGGGCTGGAGAGATGGCTCAGCAGTTAAGAGCACTGGCTGCTCTTGCAGAGGACCCACATTCGGTTCCCAGTACCCACATGGTGGCTACCACCTGTCTGTAACTCCAATTCCAGGGGATCCTAAACCCTCTTACCACCTCTGCAGGCAATGCACAACATGGGTGCATTTACATACATGCAGGCAATATACTCATACACATAAAAATAACATTTAAAAAATATTTATTATTTTTATGTGTATGTGTGTATTGCCTGCATGTAGGAGGGTGCACCTGCGTTGTGCAATGCCTGTGGAGGTCAGAAGAGGGCTTCGGATTCCCCTGGAACTGGACAGTTGTCAGCTGCCATGTGGGTGCTGGGATTGAAACCCGGTTCTTCTGCACGAACAACCAGTGTTCTTAACCACTGAGCCATCTCTCCAGCTCCATATTTTTTAAAATAAATAAACCAAGAGAATATATCCCCAGCAAGCCCATCAGTCCTACAGAAGTGTCTACAATGAGAACCACCAAGAGGAACCCAGGATGCAAAATTTAAAAGATCATAAACATGATCAAAGAACTTAAACAACACACAACTCTCAGAACTCAAAGAGGATAGGAATAAACTTCTGACTGAAGCTCAAGAATGCAAATATACGGCTGAAAGAAATGACCAAAACAATTTAGGACTTGAAAAATAAATTCACAAAAGAGAAATATTGAAGAAAACTCAAGCTGAAATGAAAATGAAATTGAAAAATTCAGTAAGTCAATTTGAAATGAAAGGAGAAAGCCTCAAAAGCAGAATGAAGTAAAAAACAGAATATTGTGGCTGGAGAGATGGCTCAGCAGTTAAGACCACTGACTGCTCTTGCAGAGGACCCGGGTTCGATTCCTAGCACCCACATGGCGGCTATGAACCGTCCTTAACTCCAGTTCCAGGAAATCCGAAGCCCTCTTCTGACCTCTGTGGCATTGCATGACATGGGTGCACTCACATACATGCAGGCAATATACACTTGCATACATAACATAAAAATAAATAAAATATTTTAAAAACCCCAGAATATCAAGAATGGACCAGACCACTCAAGCAAAGAATATGAAAAATTTTAAAAAAACACAGGACTGGAATATGTAGGAAATATGAGATACCAAGAAAGACCAAATCTATGCATCATCGGCATAGAGAAAGGAGAAGAATCTCAGGTCAGTGGCATTGACCAGCTCTTCAACAGGATTATAGAAGAAAACTTCCCCAAATTAAGGAAAGACATACCTATACAGATACAAGAAGCACATAGAACACCAATTAGACAGGACAAGAACAGAAACTTCCCATGGCGTATCATAGTGAAAACACCAAATGTACAGAACAAAGAGAGGATCCTGAAAACTTCAAGAGAAAAAGTTATGTGTAAAGGAAAACTCATCAGAATTACAGCTGACTTTTCAGTACAATCCTGTGAAAGCCAGAAGAGTCTGGACCAAGTATTTCCAGTTCTAAATGACCATGGACGCCAACCCAGAATACTTTACCCAGCAAAACTATTACAGTTGAAAATTTTTCCATGCCACGAATAGGCTGAAATAATTCATGCCCACCAAACCGGCCCTACAGAGGATACTTGAAGCAATACAAAGGACTGAAGATAGGAATGGTTATACCCATGAGGTTACAGAAAGTAAATGAAGGTATAATTATGGAAAACGACTATTTTATAAACTAAAAAAAAAAATAAAAAATGAAAACCAAAATAAAGAGCTTATAACAGAGGTCCCTTCATAGGTAGAGAATGCTTTCAGAAGTCAGACTTTTAAACAAGAACCATATTACTAGGTGTGGGATACCTCCCTTGGAGTTGTGGGCCAGAGAGGTGTGAGAGGCCCTCGAAAGAATGCAGGCTGTTGCTATTGCTCTTGGTTGCCCACCAGAACTAAGTGGTAGGACCATATATCTGAAGACACATTTTGGTTGCAGGATAGAAAAAACAAGTTGGAACTGAACTGGAAACTCTTCTGAACTGCCAGATGGTGCTAAAGCAGACTGCTGGGGGTGGTCTCACTCAGGTGTGACCATATGTGCTACCACACTAACCTGTCTGGCAAGATATGCCCACTGGTCCAATAGTGGCATGACTATTTTGAGCATAACTGTGTTGTGATTAGATTTAAGGCCCACTCCATTGGAGGGACTACATACCTGATACTATAAACCTGGTCAAACCTGTTAAATGCAAGAGTGAAATGGGTAAAATGAGGGTATTTAACTGAGAGGGGAAGAAGGAGGACTATACAAGGAACTGTGGGCATAAAGGGGGAGAAGGAGCTCAAGAGAAGGGGGATAATAGGAGACAGGTATTATCAAAGAGGAAATGGGGAAAATGGGGGCACTTTAACTGGGGAGGACAGAGGGAAGTTTTGACATGGAGAGACAGAGGAGAAATAAATAATGCATAACTGGTGTGAAAACCAGAGGAAAATGTAGTAGTTCAAAAGTCTAATGAAAAATACACATACAATATCTGTACATACGTGCACAGTATAGCTGAAGGCTATATAACAAACAGTGCCAGGCAGGAAAACCCTCCCTTCAAGCTATTGGTGAAGGTAGTTCAAGAGACTCCCAAAATGACACAGGCTATTGCCACAGCCCTTGATTATCTCCCAGAAATTGAAGGTAAGACCCTATTGTTGAAGATAGAACATACTTTGGACACAGCTCTCAGAGCAATGGAGCTGGAACTGACCTCGAATCCTCCTCCCTGGAGACTAGCTCTCGTAGTTTTGGAGGGCACTATGCAAGCTACTAAGGGAGAAAAATCAATTGTCCAATCCAAGCTTTAAAGCCTAATAACCACAACAGTGACTAGCACAGCAGACTGTCTTTATGAAAAACTAATACTGCCTCTGGTTAAGAGGTATTTGACCTTGAAAATGGCCATTTTCCACGTTGACCTCAGCATTTCAGAAGAGCTGGCTGAAGGCCTGGAGTAGGACTTTTCGGCGCAGAGACTCCTCTAACTGCTTGCTCCAGTTGTATTTCAGCACTTGCTTTTTACTGCCCCAAAACCAGACTAAAGCAGGTACTGCAGACCTGTTGGTTTCTTGGGCTGAGGTCAACTTCGGCCTTCGAAAGCTCTTCTTCCTGCCCCCAGTATAGGATTTACCTAGATCTCATTCCCCAATCAGTAGCTCTAAGCTGCCTCTTTTTTTTTCTTACGTCTTATAGTTGGCAAGGTATACAGGTGTCTGTGTGCATGCTTGTGATGTGTGTACCCTTTTTTAAACATACCCTCCACATTTTTTCTTTTTGTTAAGTGTACAAAATGACTTTTGAACCTCCCCAAGTCAAGTGCTGTACCACGGAGTTGTGCCTCAGCCCCACTTGAACCTACACTATCCCTAAACTCCCACAGACCTGACATCTGCCCTTAACCCCCACAGACCTGACATCTGCCCTTAACCAGGCAAGCTGGACCTTAAGCACAATCATTTCTAAAGCATTATTTATATAAGTGGTATATCTGTGAAGAATACATTGTAGTACATTTTGAACAGGGCCAATCTAAATTTATTTTATTTGAATACAAAATTGTTTAAAAGTCACTGAATTAATCACATTTTTTCGTATGTCAATTCATGGCCACACAAAGTACAAGTCTTGCGGTACATGTCCTCTTCCAAGTTTTCCTCTGGTCCGTACTCATGTTGATGGGCAGCCGTTTCTCTTTTCCACACGCTGCTTCTTACTGCTCGCCGCAATTCTAAGGTTAAAAAAAGGTTTGGAGGTGAATACAAAATAAATCCAGTCAGGCTTGCATTGGTATTTGTGTATTTAAAGTATGCAATGGTTTGCCTTGATTTTCTAGCAGAGCTGGCTACACACACTTGCTTCTCCTGCTTAGCCTGTGCAGTCTCATCTCATTACTGGGCAGTATGCACTGAGAGATTAGAAATGGCTGTGTGGGTTAGTACAGCAAAAGAACCAACAGCATGGCGTGTGTTGGGGGCATCAGGATGCCACAGCAGCAGAGAGTCCCCTGATGTAAGCAAGGCACAGGAATGTCTCTGTCTTAAGTTCCAAGTTTTTCAGGAACCTCTGCTGGAAAAGGCATGCCACATTCTGCTAACCAGAAAGCTGGGGCTGGAGAGATGGCTCAGCAGTTAAGAGCACCGGCAACCTGGATTTAGTTTCCAGCACCAGTATGGAGGCTAACAACCATCCATAACTCCAGTTCCAAGGGACCCAATATGTTTATCTCTGGGAATTGCACTCACATGGTACACTTAGTGCAGGCAAAACACTCAAAAGGGTTTTGTTTTTTGTTTAAAAAAAAAAAAAAAACGCAGATGCAGGAGGATCTCTGAGTTCGAGGCCAGCCTAGTCTACATAGTGCGTTCTAGACCAGCTGGAGCTACAGGGAAAAAGATAAAAAAAAAAAAAATAGGAAGCTAAGAATTCTACCAATATATGCTATATTTTCATCTTAGAAAAACTTTGTGCATTGACCTTATGTCTCAGTTCATTCATCTTGTAAAATTTGATAGCATTGTTTTAGCTTTCTTGGCTAGCTTGCTTTGTTTCTGAGATAGTCTTGTGTGGCCCAGGCTACTTTCAAACGAGAACAGCCTTGACTTTCTGATCATCCTGCCTCCATCACCTGAGTGCTGGGATTACAGGTGTGTACCACCACATCCCATTAATGGGGTCCTAGGGATCAAACTTCTAGGTTTTGTGCCTCCTAGGCAAGCATTCTACCAGCTGAGCCACATCTCCAGACCAACAGCAATGTTTTAGAAAAGTAATTGTTCATAACTATTGCAAAGTAACCCAAGCAAAAGATTACAGAATATTAAAAAGAGGAAGAAACCATCGGGTTTTTATTTGGGAAGTAGGGAAAGATCCAAAATAGTGCCCAGGTTGTCTTACGCAATGTTCATGGCTTTTTGTGCTGTGATGTTAAAGTCACTGCAAAGTGTACATTGCATTTTACCTGAAGAAGCCAAACACTCAGGGTTCACTGGAAATGAACTCTGCATTTCTAGTGTAATGGGGGTGGGGGTGTCACTGTTTACATTTCTATTCTGACCAGTGATCTACCAAGCACATAAGTTGACAGTGGCACTCCCTATACCTAGGAGTACGAGTGCCATCTTCTATAATCTCAGCCATAAAGATCAACATCCAGAATTCCTCATTTTCCTTAATCCATTTTAGATTTGTTGTAAATATCAAAACACTACTTGAATCTTTGCATTTCCAGTCTTAACATACCATGGTAAAAGAAAGAGTTATGTACCAGGACTGGTCTAAGGACTTCTATTTCATAGCATTCTGAGGTAGGTAGAACTGTCACCCCAGTGCTTGCACATGAGAAAACCAAAGCAAGAGTTTGAACAGACTGCCCAGGGTCAGCCAACTGGCAACAGTACAGTCTAGGCAACACAAGGGCCTGCGCATGCTGGGCAGGCGCTTCAGCGATGATACGGCCTGGCCCTGGGCCCGCATTCTTCACCAGGCTCTACTGCCATTTCCAAGAATGAAAAAGTACTTTCTTTTGAGATTTATGACTCAGTGTGTACACCTGTAGACAGTTTCATTTGGTGGGGGAAAAAAAAGTCATCTAAACTCTGATCATTTCTGTTTGATTTCATTATGAAGAACCCCAATTGTTCTTGAACTAGCTGGAGCAACTCCTGCTATTCCTTCTAAGGAAGCCGGCTGTGCCTCCTGACTTCGGATGGCACAGCAGATATTTGGTTCCAAAACCTGCTTGTCCAACCTTGATTTAACAGACATCTACTTCCCATTGAGAAAAACCTTTCAAAAGGTGGATGTAGCCCCATCAGACTAAGCTAACTTCTCTGCCAAATTTGAATGTTTTGTGTCCTTAGAGGAAAGAAAAATTTTCTTAACACTAAGTACAGGAAAAACCTGTCTTTCTAGCCATAACAACCCAAGGTTTAGGTTTTGTACTGCTGTTTTCTCCCTGCTGCTCCGTAGCCTTATCAAGCTGCTTCTGTAGTCTTTACCATGGATGGACGTGCATAGAAGCTGTCAAAGCAAGGTAGCACAGGTTGAGTAGCGCATGTCTGACATCCTTGGGAGCAGGTGGTTTGGGTTATTTTTAGATGTTTGAATATTTACACATACGTGTCTTGGAGGTGGAACCCAAGTCTAAGTGCAACTCCTGTATCCTTTATAATAAACCTGACACACATAGCGTGATGTACTTTATATATTTCTAATGTGCTTATGCCTATCACACTTGGTCAGTTGGGTTTTCCACCTGTGGCATCACACTGGCACTCAAGTGTTTGAGATTTTGGAGCATTTTGGATTTTCAGATTAGAGATACTTAACCTGGTGTTAACAAGGTCTGGCTGTTCCCTGCCTTCTCTGCTCTTCTGACCAACCAGTCCCAAAGCCTATGCAGCAGTAACGTAGTAGTAGACGCCACAGTAGAGGGGAGGGGCCAGAGGCAGCAGTGGTGGCAAGGTCATCTTTTGGGGTCTAAGGAAGTCAGGCTCCTCACTGTCAGAAAAAGCCCTGAAATTTGGGGAATTAAAACTAGACATACCAATGTGAACTCACACTCATATACACAGACATACATACTTTGTGCCAGACAGAAATGTTCAGTATGTCACGTGACATAAAAGCTGGCTTAGAGAGTTGGAGACGGTTCAGTGGTTAAGAGCACTGGCTGCTCTTGCAGAGGACCCAGGTTTGGTTCCCAGCATCCACCTGCAATGAATAAGAGTCCTTAACTCCAGTTCCAGGGGATCCGACACCCTCCTCTGGCCTCCTTGAGCACTGCACGACATGGACACAAGTAAAACATTCATACACATAAATTTTTTAAAAATTTAGAGAGCTGGTTTAATGAGATTCCAGCCAAATCTGAGATAGTTTGAGCACCAAAATAAAGACAAATGAACCAAACAGCATTGAAGAAGAAGTACTGAATCCACATTGATACTAATGCTGTAGAAGGCTGACTGTCCGCTGGGAGAAGTTTCAGAGTTAGAAAAGCATTTGAACCATCATAGAAACACTAGTTCCAGCAACACCTACATAGTCTTAATTTCTTTATGCTCATCAGATGAAAATCAAAATTACACTGCCACTAAGGGCAGATGCTGCTGTGCACTTCAGATGAGGTTCTGAGATGTGTTGTCTAACATGGACGCCCTGTCTGAGATACAAACCCTACACCCAACCACAGGAAGTGCCACAAAAGCCCTAAGGGAAAAGCTTCACTTGTTTTAAAAAAAAAAAAGTGTGAGGAAGGGAACAGACTTCAGAAATGTCCATGGCATAAAAAGCAAGGCAGTGCAAGTGGAAAGCTTAGAAAAGACTGCTGCTGTGTCGGCCACGCTGAGTCCTTCCACAAGGGAAGCACTGAAGCAGTGAACACGAGTAGACGCAGATTCAAATGCCAATCTGCTGATGTTGCACTCGTGAGAACATCCCTATTCGGAAAAACTGAAGTAGAGTCTGGTAGTAATTATGCAATACACTCAAGTGGTTCAGAAACATTTGTTGTAAGAGCTCACACGATGCAAACGGCAGTGTGAACAGCAGCTCAGGCTGGGATGGTATGCATCGTGGTCCTCTTCTGTTAGCAATTTTCTGCATGTTTAAAAGGACTTCCAAATAAGCTTAAGGAAGAGAGCTTAAGAGATTCCACTGGACAAATCTGGAACAATCAAAAATATCAAAGAAGGACAAGAATCACCTACACAGCACTGACCTGAAAATAAGAATCCATGAGCCCACCTGATGCTTTAAAAAACAAAACAGGCAGCGCACACCTTTAATCCCAGAACTGGGGAGGCAAAAGTAGGTGGATCTCTGTGAGATCAAGGCTATCCTGGTCTACATAGTGAGTTCCAGGCCAGCCAGAGTTAAGCGGTGAGACCCTGTCTCAAAAAAAAAAAAATGGTAACAGCCATAATCCCAGTACTTGGGAAGCAGAGGCAAGAGGATTGCTTCAAATTCAAGGTGACCCTAGGCTACATGGACCTTGTCTCAAAAAAAAAAAACACACACTGGTGCCTTTAATCCAAGCCCTCTGGAGACAGAGGCAGGTGGATCTCTGAGATTGAGGCCAGCCTGGTTGAGTTCCAGGTGGGCTGGGACTAGGGAGGCCCCATTAAAAAAAAAACAACAAAAAACAGAAGTAGAGCCCAAGGAACCAATAATCACCATTTCTATGCACACTAATAACTGGCTCAGGTAAGTCACTACCATATACTACTAAAAGCACCATGTAAAAGAGTTGCATCCCCAATGCCAGGTGTATTCATAACAAAGGTTAAAGACTTCTCTAGTGGAGAAAGCTAACTTGACACCCCCTCAAGAACTGGTAGCAGGTCTCCTGCTGGGCCCTCTAGTGCCTATGCCTCCCGCAAACATTCAGCCTGAGTCCAATGGAGCAGAAACAAGCTGCTAAGCAATCCAGGTGCAGGGATGTTGCTATGCCACAGCTGGCCTGGGTGCTGCAAAATGCCCACAGACAAAAGATGAGGTGCTGAGGGATTACATTAAAGGAGACACATCCCCAGCAGCCCCTGAATACATACCAGATATGCAGGTTACATACCACATAATCACTTTTTTTAAGTTTCTCAAATATGATCAGTTTTTCAGTTATAGAGAAAAATGTTCTTAGGAGAACTGTGTAAATATTTGGAAGAATCACAGTGTTTACAAGTAACTCATGGTTAAGCAAAGTGGGAGTGCAAAAGAGTAAAAAAATGACCAAATACCACCACCTGGAAAAAATCATTTTAGTTATTGTAGGGCCCACCCTCTACACACGTTATAGAAAGCATGTGGAGGTCAGAGGACAATCTGACAGGAATCCTCTTTCCATCATGTGAGTTCTAGGAACCAAACTCAAGTCATGAGGCTTGGCAGCAAGTACCTTTACCCGCTGAACCATCTCATTGGCCCCAAAAATGTTTTAAATAAAGGTTTGTGTTTCACAACACTCAGGAAAGTAGGAATCAACTGGTGCTGAGACTGACAGGTACTCAGATCAGGATGTGTAAGAGTGGGAGCAGTTGTGACGTACATGTTGGGGTTCGAGACGGGACCCATGCGGGCATGTGCTGCACAACATAGGAAGCCCAAGGAAGGCTGGAGAACCAAAGAACGAGCGGCTCTGCAAGCTGTCGCCTCCAGATCCCATTGGCAGCAGAAGGCTGATACCTAGAGACCACCTCTCTAGGAAATGGATGACGATGTTTATGGTGACCAGTCTTGCTACTGACCCTGCTTAGAATGTCCATCGAAAGAGATTTTCCAGTCTTGCTACTGACCCTGCTTAGAATGTCCATCGAAAGAGATTTTCCAAAAATTCTTGTTTCAGTGAAAACCTCATACCATTTTAAAGCTTGATTTTGTTAACTGAGTTTTTGCAAAAGAGGCAATCTGTATTCAAAGAAACGCAATGTGCTTCTGAGGTAAATATATAAAAGAGCTAACCAAGGGAGACCAAGTACTTCAAAATGCTGGGTGGGAGGGAAGGTACCTCTTGTTACCTGGAGCGGGGAAAGTTACAAGGAAAGACAGTAACACACAAAGCTTTGGTCTTATTTTGTTCTCCATGAACTAATGCAAGGGAACAGAACTGTATCCCTCAAACTCTTCTGAGACACTCCAGAACAGTCCAATATAGCCACAGCTCAGGATATAGACAATGTCCACAAACTTGGAAAGGACCTCAATTAGGATTTTCTTAGTGACCTCTTTGGGGGGAATGCATAGTAACAATGAAGACCAGATGACTAGCTTTGGGAGACAGAGCCTATCTCCATCTTATTTGAGACTAGAAGGCTGCAAACACAAAACACTGGGTGCATTTGCACCAATTCAAAGTTGTTGTCCAATATTGTGACCAATGCATACTTCGTGAGAGCCAGTTAACCTGGGCAGCAGCAAGGCCAACTTGGCATTGGCTTTGAGATCTGGAATCCTGTCTATATGTCCTTTATGATTTTTTTTTAAGACAGGTCTCCTGTAACCCCAGCTGGTTTGGAACTCACTATGTAGACCAGGCTGGCCTCAATCTCACAGAGATCCAGCTCCCTCTGCCTCCTGAGGGCTGGGATTGAAGGCATGTGCTACCACACCCATGCCCAGCATTCCTTGAGGACTTTTATACTTTTTTCTGTAGTAAACTCAATTCTCAAACTGCTAAAGTAAATCACATGCTAAAAGCAGGTAAATATAATCTCTTACCTTCCCATAAAGAAGAAAACTTTGTGTCAACTTCGATGTGGATCAAGAGGAACCAGGTTCCAATTTATTTTCAACTAAAAGCCTTTAGACTTGCTTTCATTCCTCTCTGTTCTGAGCCTTCTGAGCAAACTGTACAGAGAACTCCTGTTTCTACTCTACAGGCTACGCCACTCCGCCCTCTGTGGCCTAGTCGGGACAGGAACATCTCCACCAAGCACTAGAGTGAATCAACAAGAGCCACAGTTAAAGAAGGCATCACACGGACCTCTGCACACTGAACACCATAAGGCAATGGGGCGATGCTTGCAGAACTCTGAGGACTCACAAAAGGGAAATGAGGGCAAACATTCTTATTGTAGAGACTCACATAACCACTTCAAAAAGTTTCCTTAAAAGGCACGCTTCATCCAAACAAGAAGTAAACCAAAATAAAAGAAGCCAATCCTAAGAAAAACTTCAGAAAAATAAGAAAAATCCATGGTTTATCTGGTGATCAATAGCAGCTATCTAATACATACACTAAGTAAAAAATAGAAGCCAATTCAAGTTCCCATTTTGAAAATTGTGGAAAAAGTTCTGTTCATACTAATAATAGTGTTTATCTTAATAGAAGTATCATAGAAACAGAAGCAAGAAATGAGATGGATGCCATAGTCTCTTTTTTATTTATTATTTTTATTTTATATGAATGAGTGTATTGCCTGCACGTGTGTTGTGCAATGCCATATTGTGCAATGCCTCAGAGGTCAGAAGAGGACTTCAAATTCCCCTGGGACTGGAGTTAAGGACTGTTTGTAACCACCATGTGGGTGCTGGGACTCAAACCCGGGTCCTCTGCAAGAGCAGTCAGTGCTCTTAACCACTAAGCCATCTCTCTAGCCCAGGTGCCATAGTCGTTTTATTAGCCAAACTCTATGAATTTAGTTACCATCACATGACATCTTGACACAGAATTAGTGTCTAAGAAAAAAGTTACAGATAATCTTTCTTTTTAAACTCATTACTTTGCAGATACAAGTTTCTAATCAATACTATTCTTTTCTCCATAGGTTATTGTTAGCACCAAAATATCTGACAGACAAGAAAGAGGTGATTTCTAGTAGCTGGGTTAAAACCTTGGGCTGGGGCTGTGGAGATGGTTCAGTGGGTAAAAGTGCCATGAAGATCTGAGTTTGAATCCCCACCACCCACATTAAAAAAAAAAAACTCCAGCACCCACATTAAAAAAAACAAACAAACAAACAAAAAAAAAAAACTCAAGCCAGGTGTGGTGGTACATGCTTTTAATCCCAGGACTCGTGAGGCAGAGGCAGGTGGATCTCTGTGAGTTCCAGACCAGCCTGGTCTATAGTGAGTTCCAGACAGGGAAACCCTGTCTCAAAAAGACCAACAAACCTCATGTGCCTACAATCCCAATACTTGGAAATGGAGAGAGATGGCTCCCAGGAGCTCACTGGTCAACCAACCTTGCCAAAATGCCAGCTTTAGTTTCATCAAGAGGCCCTGTCCAAAGTTTAAGATGGCCTCTGGCCTCCTTATGCGCACGCACAGGACAACACACACACACACACACACACACACACACACACACACACACACACACACAAAATATTTAAAGAGGTTTTGTAGAGTTTATCCTGGGCTAGCAGGAAACTAACCTGGAGGCCCCTTTCCACACCCCTTCCTTAATATGCCTCTTCATTACTTTATCCTTTCTTAGCAGCTGCACTTACTGTTAGAGAGGAGGGGCTGGAGCAGAACACTAGAAAAGATTAAAGAAAAAGCCAATTTAAGAGAAGTTTCTTCAAATCCCCTCAGTGGTCCTTGCTGGAATCTGAATACTGTGGCGCAGCTGCAGCTGACTGGGGGAGAACTCTTCCACGATATGTTCTTCTGTGGCAGTTTGCCAAACCAAACTTTCCTCTAGGATGCTTTACAAATGAGCTTTCTGAGTCAGGAGTTGATAAGTAACATTATGTAAAGAGGCTTCAATGAGGTTGCCTTGATAAAGTTCCTATGTCCAACAGTGCTACCTACCATTTTTATTTTTAAAATGGGGTTTGTTTTGTTTTATTTTGTTTGTTATTTTAACACAGGGTCTCCCTGTAGCCTCAGCTAGCTTGGCGCTCACTATGTAGACCAGGCTGGCCTCTGTCTCAGAGATCCACCTGCCTCCTCCACCTCCCAAGTGCTGTGATCAAAGGCGTGCATGCCTTTTATTAAAAAACGTTTAAGAGTCTGTGCCTGGAAAGAAGTGGAATGTTAAAAGCTTGCTGACAACTCTGGGTAGTAGAGTCATGGCAGTTCTTCAGTTTTTTTAACTTTTCTATATCCTATACTCTTACATTGAAAATCACAGTGATGGGGATGGGGGATGGGGACTGCCAATACATGACCCTTTTTAATAAGAAGAAACAAGATTAGGTTAAATTTTTGCTTTTGCTTTTTTGTTTGGGTTTTTCATTTGGTTAGTTGGTTGCTTGGTTGGCTTTTTTTTAACCAAGGACTAAACATAGCCCAGGCTGGCCTCTACCTCACAATCCTGCCTCAGCCTCCAGAGTACTAAGATTACAGACAAGTACCACCACTCCCTTTTCTCGTTGTTAAGACATGTGAGTTATCCCATTCACCCTCCAAAACCTCTTCTAAACCCTAAAATCATAGGAAAATTATTATAGCTAGAATACAGATTTTTAGATGGACCAAGTGAGTATATAACCCAACCTACACACAGAATGCATGCTATCTAGACACAGTGGACACCACACTGGGACTCTACCTAGCTACTGCATGACAGACATGTAATGGCTACTTCCTCAGGACTTCTTTAGAGCAGGGGAACCTTGGTGCTCCTGCCTCGCCCTGTGTTCTTTCCTGGTGTTGTGCCAGTACCTAGCACTATTACCACTTCAAGTTTCTCTCCTGACACACTGATGCAAGCACCTAACACTAGCACAGTGTCTGACACATGCGAAATACCATGTGTGTGTGCATGGACGCATGGATGGACAGACTTATGGACACATACACACATGGATGCACACATGGACGATGAATGCAGAGATAGGCCACCAGGGAGTGGTGAGATGTGGAGACAGATACACAAGTGGACAGTACACAAGAAGACCTGCAGTCAAGAAAACCTGGGACTACTGTCCCAGCTCATGGAACAAGTCCCTTCAGTTTCTGGTCTTCAGTCATTTATAAAATAAAGATGCTCTGACTAGCTAACATCAGTTATCCCTTCTAGCCACCACAGAGCACTAAGACTTAGGAGCGTGCTTTTTCATTTTAAACAATGAGAGGTGGCTACTGGAGTTTGTTGTTTTTTGTTAGATACTACAGGCCACATTTAAGATCTGGCTGATGCCCAGTTGCACAAGTCCCATCCTGACACTATCATTACACAAAACATAACTCACAATAAGCAGACAGCTTACATGCCTTTTAGAAGTGCCCTGTGTAAGATGTAGACTAAGCCTCAAGCACAGGTCCCTGAGGGCAAACTTGAAGCCAGGTTTCTCAGCCTATGGAAAGGACATCCCAATGTCTGTTGGTGACCTGCATCCTTAGGTAGGAAGGAGCTCGATGCCGACAGGAAGTGACAGGAAGTGTAGCCACTCACCTTTTACTTTCTTATCGAACCTCTTCTGCTTCAGTTTCTCTCGGTTTTCCTGTCTCACTGCCTTTGCCTCTTCCAGGGCTTCCTGGCTACCCCAAACTTCTAGAGCCCTCTTCACAATCTACAACACAGTCCACATTGAAATTTGTCAGAGCTGCACAATATAAAGTTCTGACTATAGAGCTGCATTTGCAGCAGAATCATGTCACATGACAGTTTAAGAATTCCCTCAGAGTCCCTTTTAATTCCGGAAGGATTTGAAATACAAGGAGGGAAAATTTTAATTTAAAAAAAAAAAAAAAAAAAGACTCAGTGAGAAAACAAACCAAACACAAATTCAGGACGGGCAGGAACTGCACTGACATTTTCCTTTCTGTGTGCACAAGCATGAATACAAGGATCTAGAATAAAGCCTACTGGTACCACTGCACAAAATAAAAAAGCACCAAGTGAAAGAAAGAAAACTCGTGTTAATTTAATTAGCAGCAATTTTACTTATTTTGAATGGTACATAAAATAAATGGTGACTTTTCTAGTTAATGGTTTTCTATTTATTGAAATTCAGTACGTTTTCTTTTACAAGGTGTCTTCTTTTTTAATATTATTTTTATTTTATGTGTACAAGTGTATTGCCTGCATGTGTGTGTGTAGGTGACCTGTGTCATGCAAGGCCCATGGAGGTCAGAAGAGGGTGTTGGATCCTCTGGAACTGGAGTTATGAACGGATGTTAGACACCGTGTGGGTGCTGGGAATCGAACCCAGGTCTTCTGCAAGAGCAGTCAATGCTCTTAATCACTGAGCCATCTCTCCAGACTGGCTTCTTAATATACAGATGTGGAATCTTCTAGTACATTCCAATACAAACTCTGTCCTAAAGTAATGGTCCCAGTATTATCATATAACAGTAAAAAAAATAATAATACTTAAGCCATTCTGGAGTAGATACAAGAGGATATTTGTGACTCTAGGCAACAGACGTGGGCACCAGAGCCCCAGCCACTAAGTGACCCCGCATGCACACCTGTAACTTGCTCAGCACAGGTGCTGAGTAGATGTGCTCTGAGAGATGCTGAATTACATGGACACTGGGTAGCATTTCTAATGGTATTTCTCAAGTATAGTTGAATTTTAGGCACTTATGCAATTCCTGAAACAGCATTTTAAGCTTTCTTTTTTTGTTGTTGTTTGGTGGAGAAAGGGTAAGAGATAGGGAAATGAGGTCTGACTCTTTTCTAAACCTTTTAGCTTCCAAACTGGAGTCCTTACATTACCCACTAGCAACATGCTTATTCTAAAGTACCACAGCAAAAAGTTCAATGAGAAAGCATTATGCTATAAACTGTCATTAGTCATGACTGGGATGGGCACGTAAAAGAAGAAAAGGGCCCTTTTCACTGTGTAAGCAAAAACAGGATTCAAGCCGGGTATGCCTTTAATTCCAGCACTTGGAGGCAGAAGCAAGCGGGATCTCTGTGAGTTCCAGGCCAGTCTGGTCTACATAGGGAGTTCCAAGTTCCAGGCCAGCTGGGGCTACAGGGAGACCCTGTCTCAAAAGGACCAAAACAAAAACAAAAACAAAAATGGGATTCAATATAACCATTTGCTGTTAAAACATTACCTCAAGCTGAACCCCCCTCCCCCTGTCCCACAAGTACAGCAGTACCTGTAACTTCAGGTAAAGCTTCATATCGCCCCACTGTGAATGATGAGGGTTCTTCTTCACGATGTACCTAAGAGCGGGCTCTCTCTTTTCTAAGTCACAGTCTTTCAGAAGGTATTCTTGCTTTGCTTCTGTTTTGGTTATAAGTTTATGTTTATCATCAGCATCTCTGAAAAGAGATTAAGTCCATTATATAAATTATTAAAAAATTTCAAATAATCTAGCAGCCACAAGGCATGCATACCAACAGATACTTCCCTGCCTAGAGTTCTCAAGTTCAAATTCTTTAAAAATTCTAATGGAATAAGCCAGGCATGGTGGTGTGCTTCTTTAATCCTAACACTCGAGAGGCAGAGACAGGAGGATTGCTGTGAGATCAAGGCCAGCATGGTCTATATAGTAAGATCCAGGCCAGCTGTGGTTACAGGGAGACCCTGTCAAAAACAAACAAACAAAACTTACCTCTCACCTGGACTAAGAACTCACAGTAGCAGCAGAATCTCCGAAAGTCCTTCTTATTCCAGAAAGGACTTGAAATAATAGTAGGGAAAATATAACGAGAAAAAGACTCAATGAGAAAGAAAATATAAATTAAATCAAGGTAGGCAAGGAATGCCAAGAGTGGTGGTATACACCTACATCCCCAGACATAGGAGGCTGAGAAAAGAGGATTCCAAGTTCAAGGTCAGTCCAGACTACACAATGAGTTCAAGGGTAGCCTGAGCTACATAGACCCTGTCTCAAAAAGCACAAAGATGATGCCAGGTATGATGGTACACACCTTTAATCCCAGCACCCAGGAGGCAGAGGCAGGTGAATCTCTGAGGTCAAGGCCAGCCTGGCCTACATAGCAAGGTCCAGATCAGCTGGGGCTACAAGGAGACTCTGCCTTAAAAAAAAAAAAAAAGATGGACAAGAAATAAATATACAAGGTCCCATATCATAAACACAACCGAGTTCCATCTGGCTCTGTGTAGCTCAAAAACCAGTGTGAAAACAGACAGAGGGGTAACTAAAGCACCACATATAATTTTTTTTAATGTGCATAGAAAATTAGTTAAATTAGCTCTTATTTTTTCTCCATCTACCTCCCGGGCACTGTGCAAGGCGATAGGAAGACAGCCTAGATTTAATTAAGAATAAAGTCTTGTTGAATGAGGCTTCCATTCTAGTTAGAAGACAGTCCACATAACAAGTACTCTAAGACTAGAAATCATGGTGAAGGAATCAAAACTTTCAGACAGGAAGGTTATCAGAGGCCTCTGATGAGGGCATGAGGAAGTCTGAAGAGCCAGGGAGACACTTTGCAGCAGGGGGAGCCATGAGTGCAGAGGCTGCTGGGCAGGCTAGACGTCACAGAACACCCACAGTGAGTGATGGCAGGGGGTCAGGAGGGAGTAAGAGGCACCCATGGGCCTGGTGTGGTGGTGAGAACAACAGTCTACAAGGAATTAGAAACTGTTTTAAAAGTTCAGGCAAAATGCTATAGAGAACGGAGAGTCAGGGGTGCAGAGCTAGGGAAGGTGGGGCAGAGGCCAGTTAGAAGACAGGCATTCCAGAGGCTGAGGCAAGAGGGTTGCAAGTTCGCCACTAGCCTAGACAACCAGGTAAGACTCCATCTCAAAAATGTGCTGAGGCTGTGGCTTAGGAGCAGAGGCTTGCCTAGAATGATTCAAGGCCTGGGTTCCATCTCCAGCACCACAAAAAATAAATATTTTGTAAAAGTCTGAAAATGAGTACCTGCAGTTATCACAAGTTGCCAAATCAAAGTTGTTCATGAGGTATGAATCCATAAACTCCTTGCCACACTCTTCACATATCAAGTAATCAAACTCCATGACCGGTCCTAAGGAAGGAGGGTGAACTCTTTATCCTTTCATAGGACTAAAACAATACATATAGTTTCCCCTGTTTTCCTGGCTCATCACCAGATTTTATCCCTGACACAAATATCTCTGGGGGAAAAAACTTTGATTAAATTATCTTATTTAAACCATTTTATCTAAAACCATTTTCTAAGAAGAAAAAAACAATGAAGTAATGGGCGGGGGGGGGGGGGGAATCTAGCAACTTAACAGCCCTTCTGAACTTGACCATGAACACAATATACTGTTGCAGTTAAGAAATTCCTGCACTTGGAGTAGTTACAACAACACAAATCTCTCACCTTACAGATCTGTGGTTTGGAAGTCTGGTGTGGCTCAGTGGGTAAAATCAAGATGCCTACAGGGCTATGCTCCTTCCTGAGGACATTTTCAGCTCCTAGGGGCTGCCCTCCCACCTAGACCCTCCATAAGGCCAAGGCCAGAGCTTCCCACACCACCTCGCTCACTTCCTCCATAAGGCAAGCCCTTTTAGGAAGGCCTCTTATTACACTGGGCCCACAGGGATTATCTCCATCTCAAGGTCTTCAACTTTAATCCCATCTGCAAAGTCTCTTCTATATAATGTAATATATCCACAGTCTCCAAGACAATTAGAGTGTGGTCATCTTTGGGGGTTTCTATTCTGCTAATTATAGTACTGTTCAAAGTACAAAGAAGACTGGCCCCAGGGTGAGAGAAGAGCAGGCATCTGCTTACAGGTGGGGAGACCGGCCACCAACACATCACACGGTCAAAGCACTAGTGAGCAAAGCAAGGTTTAGGAGCGTCAACTCAGAGTTCACTCAGATGGGGACATTATTGTTCCTTCATCCCACCCCCTGTCAGCAGAGCAAACAATTCCCTCTTTATCAGTGTCAGCTCCCTCAGGGGAGAGTCACTGAGCCCTGTATCCTCAGTACCTAGCTTAGAATCTGCCCTGGGTACGGTGAGGACTGGATTCTCTTATTTCAATGCCTAGCTAAGGATCATAATCCTCTAAGAACTGGTCCTCTGGCAAGTCTAAGCTTCACTAGAAAGTCATTAGGATGAACGCTACTGCCAAGCCCCAGCTCCCAGAACCACCTCTGTTCCCAGTAGGAAGAAGAGGAGCTGTCATTTGGTCCTTGTTTGTGCAACATTCCTGTCCCTGCCTTCCTTAGTTAACTCCAAAACAAGGTCTGTCAAGACCCCACCACTGCGTAATCTCGCTAATCTCCATGCTCTTAAAAGAAATTTTTCTTTATAAAATACAGAGTACAGCTATGAAAAAAAAAAAAAAACTGAACAATCTGGCACAGGACTGGTGGTTTCTTAAAAAAATTGACTAGGATGTGTTAGAATGCAGAGATGCTATAATAAAAAATGCCACTTAGGAGGATACTACATCACATTACTCATCAAAAGCCCTGAAATGGACAGTTTTAAGTACACACAATGAGATTTTCCATCTCTAGCATCCCTTTTACATTTGCCACTCGGACAGCTTCCGCTCTCCCTAGGCATTCATCAGGGTTCCTGTGCTTAATGATGGCTGACCCATTACTGTCCTTCAGTCCTTTAGTGTGCTCACTGTTGGATTCAGCCGGTGCCGCTGATGCTGCTGTCACATGCCCCCATCAACTTGAAACACTTACATATTTTCTGGCATTAAAGATGGTCCAAATTCATGTTTTTGTCATAGGCCCCAAAAGCCCATCAAGTTCCAGATGGTACTGTCCCAGGAACATCAACCATTACCTCAGCATCAGTGTCTGTCACCCAGTGTCACTACTGTCACTGCACAGCCAGCCAACAAGGACACAACGCCCCATCCCAGATGCCTACAACCCCTACCTGCAGGAAGTAGCCACTGACGGGTGTTCACCCTAAACTCCCTAAGATTTTCAAAGCTTCTAGTTCTCGAAGGGGAAATTGATAGTGTAGGTCATCAGTCAGACAGGAATGGTCAAGAAAAATAAAAATTCAAAATCCTGGGAACAAAACACATTATGGCTGTGGCTATCAAGGACCACAAGTGTTTTCTGTGCCTCTGTAAAGGCTAAGATAAGCACTCTTACTAAAGCTGTTTGCATGAATAAAACCAAAATCTGAAGAACAATTTTTAAAATCCACATGTAGGCCCAATTTATAAAATCCAAATTCAGGGGCTAGAGAGATGACTCAGCTATTAAGAGCACTTACTGCTCTTGGAGAGGACCCATGTTCAGTTCCCAGCACCCACACGACAGTTAACAATTGTCTGTAACTCCAGTTCCAGGGGAATCTGATGCCATTTCCTGGCCTTGGAAGGCATTGCATGCACGTGGTGCACCCATACTTGTAAGCAAAACACTCATACACACAAAATAAAAATCAATTAAAAAAAACCCAAACCAGATTCAACTGGATAGACCCCAGCCCTCTGACCAACAGTAACCTAAAACTCATTATACTCATATGTTCTATCCTTTTTTAATAAACTTACACTTCTGCTACTGTTCATGTATCACTTGACTTCAAGACAGATGAATGAAGGACCCAGTCTACACTGTAACAACATGCACATCTTGATCAAGTAGCAAGAGAGGCTCTCGGTAGATATTTAACGACTTGTTAAAGCATAGCCTTTACAGATGTAGGTATCTACAAAAATATAGTCGTTATACATCTTTGTTATGGTCTGAATGTCCCCCACAGGCTCCTATATTGGGACACTTGGTCCTCAGGTGGTGGCACTGTTTGGGAGGTTATGGACCCTTTAGGAGTGAGGCCTAGCTGGAAGAAATGGGTCTCTGTGGAGCAGGCCTTGAGGGTCTCAGCACAGCTACACTTCTGGAAGAGCCCTCTCTCTGCCTCCCTGGTTGGTTCCATGTGGCAAGCAGCTGAGCCACATACCTATCCCACCAGGACAGACTGCTAATGTCTGAACTGTGAGCCAATGAAATCTTTCCTCACGTAAGTTGCTCCTGTTAGGCATGGGTCACTGCAATGAGAGAAACTAACTGATACCGTCTTTATACCTACAAAATCACAGGGACGGACTTACCAGCTCCTGAATTCAAAGTGTTCCCTCCTAAAATAGGGCAGCTTCTTCACAATACAGTAGGCAAGTGGCCTTATTTTTCTTAGTCTTTCCATCAGTCAGTCTTTTGTGCTCTGAATCCTGTGACACTTCAACAGCAAAGGCAGCAATCGACAAGGTGGGAAGTGTCAGAGGCACTGTGAGACCCAGTCTATGTACCAACAATCCAGAAATGCCCAGTGCTTAATATGCATAGGTACCCCTCTATTATACCAGGCTGAAATCTCCCTCTCTCACCGATGGTCACCCACAGTCTCAAACTCTGCCCCACAAAGTTAATCACACTAAATGTAATTTTTTTTTTTCCTTTTGAGACAGAGTCTCTCTGTAGCCCCAGCTGGCCTGAAACTCACTATGTAGACCAGGCTGGCCTTGATCTCACAGAGATCCACCTTCCTCTGCCTCCTGGGTGCTAGGAATAAAGGTATGCACTACCACAACTGGCTCTAAATATAATCTCTTTAGACCAGGAGACTACTTCTTGAATTTGCAAGCAGATGAAAGTATTCTCCAAGTTAAATCTAACCAGTTTTGACAACTGTCTCTCATATGTCAATTCTAAGACTTCCACTCCAGCCACCTTGTTTAGGAGACTAAATACTTACTTAGATCCCTCTTGAAATATGACACCCAAAGTAAGCATAAATATTTTAATCTTTTAAGCCTCTGCTTCTAAAAACAATAGTCTAGACAGGCTCAGAATGGAGCTGCTTCTTGCCTTGTGAACACACTTCTTGTGCTACAGCTAAAGACTACACTGGGATTTTAAAGCTTCTATACTACTGACGAGCAAACAAACTTTGTTAAAAATTATTTTTCACATTGTGAAAGTATCCTCACCTGAGATTATGTGTATATATAATTGATTTAACAAAGCATTAACTTTATATAGAAAATTCATATCCTTTTTTCCTAAAAATAAATAAAAGAATGTCCTAAATTTTTAAAATTTATTTTTTTTATGTATATGAGTGTAATGCCTGCATGTATGCAAGTTCACCCGTGTCATGCAATACCTGCAGAGGTCAGAAGAGGGCATCAGATCCCCTGGAACTGGAGTTACAACAGCTGTTAGCTGCCATATGGGTGCTGGGATTCAAACCCAGGTTCTCTGCAAAAGCAGCCAGTGCTCTTAACTGCTGAGCCATCCCTCCAGCCTGAATGTCCTAAATTTTTATCTCTTGGTACTGGCCTCTCATTTCAGTCTATGAAGATAATTTTCATTTTCTGTCTGTTTTTGTTTTCTTTTGTTCTATTTTTGTTTTTTAGATGTGGTTTGTAATGGTAAGTTTTTAACTGTCAACTTAGCACAACCTAGAATCACTTTAGAGTCTTGATTGAGGAATTTTCAAGATGTCAAGATCAGGTTGGCCTCTGAGCATGTCTGTGGGGGGTTGTTCTGATCGCTAAATTAGTATAAAGAAGACACAGCCCAATGTAGGTGGCACCATCCCCTGGGTTAGAGCCTTGGACTATGCAGTAGTTACTTTTCTGTGGTTGTGATTAAACAGCATGGCCAAGGCAATTTACTGAAGGAAGAGTTTATTGGGTTTATGGTTCCAGAGGGATAAGAGTCCATCATGGCGGAGGAGGCAGTGAGAGCAGAAAGCTGAGAGCCCCCATCTTTAAGCAAAAGAAGCAGAGAGAAAAAACTAGAAATGGGCGTGCTTCCTCCAGCAAGACTACACTTCCTAAACCTCCCATAACAGAGCCACCAACTGGGGACAAGCATTCAGACACTTGGAGCCTATAGGGGACAGTCTCATCAAACCACCACAGTCTGCACAGGAGCAGAGAGGGCTGGATGAGTACTAAGCAAGCAGGTAGCACACGTGCATTCCTTTCTCTCTGCTCGTGGCTGAGGGTGTGGTTTGACTAGGTGCTTGAGCTCTTGTCTTAACTGCCCCTCAGTGATAAGACTATAACCTGGAACTGTAAACCAAACAACCCTTTCCTCCTCTATGCTGTTTTTGTGAGGACATTTGTCAGAAATGAAACTAAAACAGGCTCTTACTAAGTTTTATCAGTCTGGCCTTGAACTCCTGTGTTCGATTGATTTCCTGCTTCAGCCTCCCAAGTTGCAAGACGTACAGGAGCGTGATGGTGTGCCCAGCTTATCAAAACATTTTTTGAGAATTCATTCTGTCCATTGATATCTTGGCTCCCCTTGTCTATTATAAAACAGAGAACATCAGCCCCATACACACACCCTACGAGTTAAGTAATCACCTCCACATGCATGCCCTGGAGTTTCTTTGGTTTTTCTAACCTACCAGCAAAACTACAAACATGGTCACTCTTGCAAAACTAATCTTCCCACTGATGAAATGACAAATAATTATTCACGTTACTCAAAATAACCGATGTTTCTTTTCTGGAAACTCATTTTACCTGGTTGATGAACAACATTCCCAATTTTCTGTTTTTCTTCTTCCTCCTCTTCTAAAATGAAGCCTCCTTTGGTGTCAATCATTTTGGGAGCTGCTTTGACATTGGTCATGCCTGCCGAAAGCAAATAAAAGCGGTTATCAACTGAACTAGGCAGGCCTGCATGCTCCCTTGTGGGTAAACAGGAACTTTCAACTGAACTAGGTAGGCCTGTATGCTCCCTTGTAGGTAAACAGAAACTTTCTTGAAACTTAGTGCCTATTAAACAAGATAAGGATGCTGGGGTCACTATTTCTACTCAAAAGTCAAATGAAAAGACATGACAACAGTGAGGTCCGAAAGAGTCCCAGGTGTGCAAGCTTCCTTCCCTGACATACTCCAGGCCCCAAGTGCCAAACTGCAAGCGCCCTAGGCATAAACCACACTCTAGATACACTTTGGCCACAGTAAACCCCTGGTTTCAGAGTAGAGGGAACACACCAAAATCCAAGATTCTAGATACCAGCCAAAGGCCAACCCTTATGTTAAGCAGGTCTTCCTAAGGACAGCTGGCTGAGTCCTGCTCTGTTAACAAGTCGGGAAGACAGGTGGAGAGCATCTATGACAGCCTCTAACAGAAAGAATAGTGATAGTAACTAATATTTTCAGTATGTTAACTCTATACCAGACAGTTGTGAAAATCACTTTAAGAGGATTATTTCAACCAGAACTAAAAGTGAGCAAACAGGATAAACCTAGCTAGGGAAATGTCTATTTAAGAAGTGCCTTGAGGGTTTAGAGGCAGAAGCATGAAGAGAAATGATTTACTATATCAGCAAACAAGGAACTGAAGGAAGAAAATTGCAAAGCCTGTAACAAACAGTTAAAATTAATAATACATAAATCCTCTCAAATGCATACTTTTCTACAACATGGATGTTGAGTGGAATGAGGGTGGGGTATTCAAACATGATACAGAACTCAACGGCTCCCACAAGGAACAGTACCAGATGAACCTACCAACTTTGCCTAATCATGCTACTTTTTAAAAAAAAACAATACTGGAGATTGAACTCAGGGTCTCAAGCATGCGAGGCAAGCACTCTACCACTGAGCCTTCCTTCCTTTTATTCCTTGGAGATAAGGCCTGAACTTACCCAGGCTGACCTTGAATGCTCTCCATAGCCCAGGCAGGCCTTGAACTTGGGGCCCCTTTGTCTCAGCCTCCTGAGAAGTTGCAGTTACAGACCTGTGCCACCAGGTCTGGCTACCTTCAACTCTCCTTGCTAATCTGGACCTCTGTGGACTTGAACTTTACTTTCTCTACACTTGGCCAGGCTGTTGGAAGTTGAAGGCTTGCATGGCTTTAGACATTGGTCTTTAGCAGGCAAGAGGAGTAACATTTTCAAGGCATTTATCCATGTCTGTGTGCAGTATGCATAATGGAAAACCAAGTCTTATATACCTAGTTTTCAAGAAGGCAATGAAAAGCACATTACGAAATGTTACATAAACATAAGGGTTTTCAAATGGTTTGGAAAGCTCCACTTCTGTGTTAGTCATAAGTCGACTGCTTGTACGTAGTTGAGGAGAGTTTCTGGTCAGTAGCAACAGGACTAATGGCAACAATAAAAGCAAGTTTAAAAATTCACACTGCTGGTAAAATATATTACTATTCAAGAGTGATCACTCTAAGAATCACCTTGTTGGGGTGGGTGGGATGGAATGAGGAAGACAAGACACTGGCAAACAAAAGCATTCCCACCTCACCCAGTCCTCACAGACCTGAGCACTGATTAGTACTATGCTTATATCAGGCCCTTGAGGAAAAGCAAGCACATCTGTCTGCTCCAGAGTGATGAAGACATCACACGGTCTGAGGGCTCCAGCACAAGGCACATGTGTGCTGCCAAGGTATCATGCTGTGCTACTGAAATGATGAACAAAGAAAGGCCAGAGTTCAGGATGTTAGAAAATGGGGCAATGAAAGCTTTTGGAAGGATTTTTAAAAGGAAATTAAAAGATCTGTGCGCTAGGTAGATGGCATTCAAAAACAGGAAAAAAAAAACAGCAAAAATAATTTGTAAAATGAAGTACACCATATATATTATATAGAAATATACTGAAGTTGCAGAAGAATATAGATTCCTACAAATCAGTAGAAATAAATTCGGTGAATTACTCCCAAGAGCAATGCCAGCAGCCAGAACCACAACTAACATTACAAACATGGCCCAAAGATGCCATGAACCCACGGCCATAAGACCCAAGTTCTGGTCCTGATTAGCCTGAGGGAAAAAATATCCCTTTTCTTTTCTTATCACAATTGCCACTTCCGGGGAAACAGCGGTCCCAAGCTCCACCCTTTTCAATTCCAGGGTGGCTGAGAGTCCAATCAGTTAACTCCAAATGCGGAGCGGCCCCCGGAAGGGCCTGGTCCAAGGCCCTCGCGGGATGGCTGGAGCCGGAGCAGGTCCAGGCTTGTTAATGACATGGGTTACAAGGCTGGGCGCTCTGTACGCCGGCCTGCGGGGCTGATGGAAAAGCCGCAGGCGGAGGGCATAAAGGGAAGGTCTGGGACGGTGGAGGTGACGGCAGGGCGGCTGCATTCCCATGAGGCCCGAAGCGCGAGGCCGGGGTTCGGGTCAGGGACCCCGGGCTCGGGTCCAGGCTCGCGGAGGGGGACCCAAACCTCCAGTGGCCGCCGTCGGGTAGGGCCGGGCCGCCAGCCGGGCCTGGCGCAGCATCAGTGCCCGCTGCCGCTTCCTCTCGATGTTCGCGCGCATGGCGGCTGGCAGCTCCACCGGCTCCTCCACCGCTGCGGGATCACCCTCCGCCGTAGCCATCGCCACCCTACTCAGGGACCGCCGACCTAGACTTCAGCCCCCGCCGGCGCATCGCGCGCCGCTCGTCTGACAGCCACCGCGGGCCAGACCCGCGATTGAGTGCGCCTGCGCAGGCGAGGGGCGGTGACATGGAAGGATCTGGGCGTGCGCAAAAGCTGGTGCAGGTACCCTGGCTCAAGGGTCTCTGCTGAGGTCGACTTTTTAGATCTAGTCAGGTTTAAGTAACAGTTTCGAGGCTTGAGAGGTGGCTCAGCAATTAAGAGCACTAGCTGCTTTTTTCAGATGACACGGATTCGATTCCCATTGCCCACGTGGTGGCTAACAACCGTCCATAACTCCAGTTCCAGGGGATCCAACGCCCTCTTCTGACTTCCTCTGTCTTTGCAAGACTGGGGTGCACTTAGACACATGCCTGCAATACACTCGTTTAAAAAAAAAAAAAGTAAATAAAAAGTATTTAGCCGGGCATGGTGGCACACGCCTTTAATCCGAGCACTTGGGAGGCAGAGGCAGGCGGATCTCTGTAAATTCAAGGCCAACCTGGTCTACAAAATGAGTTCCAGGACAGCTGGGGCTACAGGGAAACCCTGTCTCAAGACCAAAAAAGCCGGGGGTAGTGGTGCAAGCCTTTTAATCCCAGCACTCAGGAGGCTCAGAGGCAGGTGGATCTCTGTGAGTTCAAGGCCAGCCTGGTCTACATAG